CCCTTCCCAAATTAGGAATTAAAAAATATATATATATATATAATCCTACAGGACATCTTGACCTGAAAGTTGGCGTGTTATGATTTCTTTTCTTAGCTGTTCGTTGCGATAGTTCTTCCGATTTGATTGATTACATCGCAACAATTTGTGGGGCAATATAAAGGCTTGTTCTTGCTGGCCGCATAACACGCACTTGCGGTCCGAAAATGGCCCGCGCCAGTTGAGAACCATATGGCCTAAGCCATGAATATCCTACCTAAATTTTGGACCATAGAGAAATAAAGTTTGAACAAAATATATTTGTTTATCAGGTAACCAACTGGGATAAGGTCTTCCCTCTATAAATACTGCAGTAAATGTATTTTTTTTTTTAAAGTAGGCATCACCCAGCCAATTTTTCACGATAGGTAATGTTTTGTTTTGTTTCTTTGTATTCGATTTTTTTTTTTAATTTAAATTTTGTAATTTTAATCATTGTGATGCAATAAAGAGAAATAAAGAAAGTGGCAGAATATCCATCATGACACAATTATTAATTATATCATGGGTTCATATTTTTTGGACAAGAGTAATTCAAAAACATCACCTTCTACCAGGTACCCATTTATACTCCTGGTGAAGAGCGGCAACTGATAGTACAGTACTAAACCCAAAGACAAACACAGCATGGCATAAGCGTCGATCTCGAACCCACGACCTCACCATTGACCAAAACCTTAACCGACGTTATAGTGCAGATATCAGAATAGAAGTTCGAATCTTACCTGCCTGTGATTTAGTGATGACTAACATCAGAATTACAGTCGTAATTATTATGTACGCTTGATTCATTGTTATTAAAGTAGAAAGCTTTGAGATGTTCAAGGAATGTACTCCGTCAGAACTGTAAAGGAAAAAAATCGATGGCTGAAAATTATCTTTATCAACACACGAAATAACATGCTGATTGGCTCGAACCATCTTATCTTCAATCAGTATCTTCAGTTTCAGTTTTATTGTTTCACACAATGAGCATAATTGAACAAGGTATAAGAACATATTATAATTCAATGGTTTTGATTCATTAACTTAAGATAAAAATAATATGATCAAAATAGAATTTCATAGTATGGATAACAATATAAATTTAAATAATGTTTAGTAGATAAAGTCAAGGACGTAGCCAGGATTTTGAAAGGGGAGGGGGAGCCGTTATGCAAATTACTTAGGACCCCGGCGGGGTCAAGGGGGCACTCTGAACGTTCTTAGGACTGTTTGAGAGGATAAAGTGAAAATTGCAATAGACGCATTATAAATAAGCGAAAAAATAATTATATAATAAATCAACAGTGGCAGATCCAGGAATTCGAAAGAGAGGTGAACCAGGGAGGGACTCACAGACCGAGGAACCACCCACCTCAGCCCCACCATGGTTGGGGCTGAGGTAAGAAAATTTATGATTAGGGCATCTGTAGATGGCCGGAAATTACACTCTCGCGCTACAATTTCAATATATTTTTCTTTTTTCCCCTTAAAAACATGAAGGGGGGGGGGGGGGGCCTTGAATCCACCTCTGCTCAAAACATTCTTTATCCAGAATAGCCATAATCACGAAAAATGGACATGAAAAACCATGATCACATCCTAAAAACAAACAGAAGTCACTAAGACATACATCAGGAGCCGACTCGATGGAGTTTAATGTCATACCCAGGGAAGGGCACAGACCTGTTTTGAAAGGTGGAGTGGGAGGGCATTTTGTGAGTCAACACCCACCTCAGCCCCACAATGGTTGGAGCTGAGGTGAGAAAATTTTAGGAAATAGTACCTCCAGATGGCCAGAAATTACACTTTTAGTAAAATTCATCATCATCACATCACCATTAGTTTTTGACAACCATAGAGATCTTATTAATGTGTGTGTGTGTGTATACAATAGAAAACAAAGCTTAAAAACATTGTCTTTGAGTATGTACTTTACATAGGCCTACTTCAAAAACGTGATTTCACAACCACCTCTCAGGTGAGAAAATTTGAGGAATAGTACCTCTCGAGATGGCCGGAAATGACACTTTTATATAGTAAAATTCATCATCATCACATTACCATTATAGTCAAAATGAAACGCCAACAAATTTCTCATGATCTTTTATTAGGGATCTACTTAATATCCAGGACAACTTAGGCCTAATTATAGCTTACTGAGCTTTAACTATATATACTATAGTATGATCAACAAATCACAACTTTTTTTCCGCATTTAGCAAAATTTTCTTCACTTTTTATCGCTATTAATATTATTATCAATTATTACTATCGTCATCATCATCATTGGTATTACTATTATTATTATTATTATTATTATTAGACCTATTATTAGGCCTATTATTATTACTATTAGTAGTAGTATTATTAAACAAACATTAAAAGAAACTTGCAAAAGGATAAGAACGAAATTGAACCACAGTATCGCATTTCTCTCTTAAAAGACCTGGCCTGAGATTTATGGATTTAAGATTTTTTTAAATCACGCTTAGGCCTA